ATCGCCCAGGGTTTCTCAAAATGCTCCAAGGAAGAGGTAATGGAGTTCTGGCAAAGTGTGGCGAAGGAGCTGAATAGTCTGGGCCCACCAACCAAAGACGTGTCGAGCTGGAAAAAAGTAATGAATTGCTGCATGTGTTATAATTTCGTATATCATATATTTATTTCAGTTGTGGTTAGATTGGAAGGCCTACATAAAGAGGAAGCTATCCGAAAACAAGAAGGAGCAGGCAGCAACAGGCGGAGGACGAAATAGGCAGCACCATTTCAATGAATTGGAAGAGGAAGTCATTAAGATGACAGCTTTAGAGACCAGCACGCACGGCATCACAGGTACGGTAAGTGTTGGACTACCTTCTGCCGGCGTAGGAAGTTGCGAGGCCGATCCCGACGTATCCATGTTGTCGGGGAACTGCAGTCCATTCCTCCCGAGACGTGCTCCAACTGTCCAGAAGCGAGCCGACACAAGTGCTGCAGAACTTTTGGAAGAACAACTGGAACTTCAAAAGGATTTCCAACAAAAGAGTGTGGAGGTAGAGCAACGAAGGTTAGAAAAGTTGTCAAGAAATAAATAAATACACTAATTTCATTGAAAACAACGAATGTTTGTATTAAAATAGATTTTTCTTGTCATCCATGGTTTGTATCATTTCCAACGAGCAAAATAAACCTTAAATAAACCTTTTTTTAAGTTTACAATTATAAACATTAATGGCATTATTCATAAAAAATAAAGTAGCTTTACAAAAGGTTTATAAATTGAAAAATGTATGAAAACGTCAATTTATAAAGCTCTTTAAACCTACTTTATTTTTTATGAATAAGGCCATAAGCTTACAAAACGTTAATTTTTTGTTTATAAAACGCGTGGAAGTAAGCGTAATATAATCGAAATGGAACCTTGGTTACAAGCGTATAAATATATAAACTTATAATAAATGTTCAAAAGAAGGGTTTTTATGAGCGTATAAATCTGTGGTCATAAGAAATAACCGCCTAAGACGAAAA